AATTCATAGTGGAATCAATGACTGCAAGCTGCCCAGTCCCTGAGGCAGCAAAGCAACCTCAACCTGTAATATTTTCTCGAGGTTTTACTCCCAAAAAGCTGTCTTTGGTTTGTGCAAAATGTCTCTGCAGTTACTGTGAGCAAACAACTCTCTTTGATTCATCTGTCCCGAGCACATTATTTCCCTATACGTTCACTGAATGTACCTCTAGAAGGCTTTTTCCTGACATGCCTCCCATGCAAGTCAGATTAGTGGAATCTTTTTTCCAATTGTGACACCAACACTTGCAAGAGTTACCTGCAGACACTGTGATGAGTTTTGGGGCTTCTCAGAAACTTCTTTTTGCATCAAATGGTCGGCTTTTGGGCTGAGTTTTCTGGGGCGACTAAGTCATTGTCTTACTTTCTCAATGTGACTGCCCAGTTTTTTTTTGTTTTGTCTTATTTAAATTATGAAAGTAACTACTGTCACTATGAAAATGTCATTGTCACTGTTATGTGTCATTTGTTTAAGTGGACCAATTGGATCTGTAGTTTCAAAGACGATAAAGTGTCACTCAAATATGTTGAACAAGTCAACAGTACGTATTTTTTTCACAACTGTCTTTTTGTTGCCTCCATTTTTCCTTCATTCAAGCAAGAATAAAGTTCACACATATTGTAAATCCAAGCTAAGTATATAAAAATTTAGATTTAGAGATAGTTGCTTTATATCAATCTATCTAAACTAACTGAAATAAAATAACAAAATATTATTTTTGCAATCTTGAGCTACAGTTTGAACGCTTCATCTTTTCTGCATTTTATGTGTTATGTTGGAGAAATGTGAAATACCATGACAGTGTAATCTGCCATGACAGATTTGAATAATAATAGGATTAATCTCCAGGTATTCAAGAATGTGGCAACACTGTACCAAAAAAATGACTTATCTATAGAAGAAAGAAACATCTTTCTATGGGACCATTTAATTTCCTGTCCAAGCAAATGTTGGACTCCTGCAGCTGTCGAATTTTGAGCTCCAGATGCACTGAGGCAACCAAAGCATTATAACAATATTGATGTATGTGTTTGTGTAGGCGTGTTTGTGCATGTAAACACTGGCCCATAGCACTTGGCCAGGGTTTAACGTCTGGAACCATTTCACAAGCTCAGATAATAATAAAAAAAATGAAACAACTTACAGCAATGACGTGAATTTTTATGTCTCTGTGGATATATGCTATCAGGGATTCTACAAAGCTGAATACAGGCAGTATCTCTTTTATTGTACCTGCACAGAAAGGTTTCATTGTTATCGTGTTGCATGCTTTGCTTACTGGATGTTAATATGAAGGATACCTTTGAGGTGAATACAGAAAAAGCACACTGAGATCCAAAGATTTAGTCTTTCTTTAGCAGGCAACTGTCACTTCATGAGAAAAGACCTGCATGCATTACTTCGCATTTTGCATAGCTAATTCTAACAATAAATAGCCTCATTTTTTTCATCTCACTCAAGTCCCAAACCACAAACTTTTTTTTTTTCAGTCTGTGTGATAAGGCTCTTGATTAAAAATAACAGATTGAATTCAAACCACAGAGGTATAATTTTCACGCTGATACAAAGACAAACAGTTGTTTCAGATCAGCTGGATTTCTGCTGTCTTTGTGCGCTACTTTAGAGAAGACGTAGACAAGAAAGTGTCCTGACTATAAACCTGACAAGTTGTCAGCTGTCAACAGTTTCTCTGTCTGTCACACCAGTAAAACACATCACAACAGAACACGGAATCAGCCTTTGGGTCTTTATGGAGAGCGCGTCAGTCCTCATGTCACGTATTTTCTTGTGCTTGTGAAGTAGCAGTCGTTTGTCGTCTAATGCACGCGCATCAGTGGACTTCTAACTTGTGAGGGAAGAAATAAATTATTTCGTTCACACTCAGAATGCACTGATTTTTTTTCTTAGAGTATGTGGGAATGATGTGTTAAATGTTTAAGAGTGTTAAAGAAAAAATGAGTGAAAGTCACAGAGGGTGTGAGCGAACTATTTGAGTCCACAAATTATATTTTGCATTTGAATTTTCACTGTATTTTTTCCACCTCTGCATTTGTCTTTACATGTATTCATGACATCAAATAGCAGTGAATGTAAACATCAACACAAGGAATGTTTTTTTTCTTCCTATAGAAATGAAGTATAAAATTGTGCCTTTCAGAAACATTAGATAAATAATTTGTCTGATCTTCTGAGCTCATTTAATAGAATGACCACTAACAGGAATGCACAAAAGATAGTAATCGAATATAGTTTCAGGAATCATATGGTGTTTTAAAGTCCTACACTCAAAAAGAGCTCAAGAAGCATCCAATCAGGCAGTGAGCTGAAAATGCTTTAGAGAAATATTTTTAATAACTCTTGTTTTGCCCAGTTTAAAAAAAAAAAAAAAATCCTGAATTTAAAGAGACATTTTTAACTACATTGTAATTTTGTCTCATTTTCTTTTCAGATGTATATTCACTCTAAAACATCGCAGAGAAAAATGTAAAACACCTATCACCAAACTCTAATTTGACAGGTCAACCACATTCCTGAAAAGAAGACATAATGTAATGCTTTTTAGCAAGATTTGTTATGATGAACTATATTTGGAATTAATAGAGTTATTGTTATTATTATTAATTTTTTAAATCAGTTTTATGTATAAGGTAAATCCTAAGGCTTCCCTTAAATTGGATTTCTGTGTTATTATTGAACTTCTATGTTAAAACTGCACTACTGGGAACCTTTCGCAAAGAGACAAGAGACAAAGAAATGCATCCTGCATTAGTCAGAGGTTTGGATGTATTTCTTTCGTCTGTGTCTTAGAATTGACATCATGGTATCGACTGTCTTTCCCAGGGGATGTTCCATCTAGCATAGGACTGAATATAGTGTATTAAGAATACATTGGATTTAAAACAAAAAGCTATTTATTGAGAATATAGTCTATTGTTATCTTCTTAGAAATCATTTAGAAAACATTGTCGTTTTCTTTTCAGGGGCGTGACCTAGACCTGTCTAATTTGAGTTTGATGAAGGGTGTTTTACATTACCCTCCCATCACCATCAGCAGTAATATATCCAGTGCCACTGTTTGTATTTCTCATGATAAAGCTTTTTTTTTTTTTTTTTTCCCCCCACAGGGTTACTACACAGGAGTTTTGTGGTGGGCATATATACATACATTAGCTAACACACAACTGTTTATTACATGTACTTGGACGGGGCAGAGTGCCTGAGAAAGATGCAACGGATGATAACAGAGGCCTAGATAAAAAGTCAAGTTAAAGCATTTAATGACAAAGTACTCTTAAATGCAGTATAATCACATTGCACCTTTTCTTCTTATGCTTACCTTTGCAGTCCCCGTCTGGGCCCCAGGCAATCCAAAAAAAAAAAAAAAACTCTCATCTTTAAGCTCTAAATGGTTTCCTCTGCTGAGAACACTTCTTCTCATTTTTTCAGTTTACCGAGATGAAGAAACATTTTTCTTGAAGTAGGCGAGATAATTGCGTAGTTTATTTTGGCATTCATAATGTGTGAGTCAGTACCAGCATGATGATATTGCAATTTGTTCATCGCTTTCTGTGTCTTTTAAGAACTCCTTTATTCCTGTGCTACACACAGTGATGAGGATTTGACTCTCTCTGCAGTTTGAAATCATCGCCAGTTAAATAGGACAAGAGTGCCAGCTAATAGCCTCCTTAAAGATGCATCAGTGACTCAAAACATGCCTTGGTGGATGTATTAAAGTAACAAGTAAGAGGCAACGCATAAAAGTAGGTGGCTTATTAAATTTCAGGGTTAAGAGGTGTCTTCATAAAACTGAATCGGGAGATGAACAGAAGACTTGTTGTTGTAACTGTGCTCCATTACTGCAACAGTTTAGCTGCTACGATGATTTGCTGTGCCTCATTATGAATAGAGTTAGAAATCTTTGCCCTTTTTATATTATCTAATTAATTTGTAGACTTTGGTAACTATTGGGCTAATTTACTTTGACCCACATGTTCATTCATTTATTTCTGTCTTCTATCAGACTCTAATCTGTCCAAGTATATGAAACTGAAACCTGCGTACAAATCTGTCTGCAAATAATTAAACTGCAACTGGGAATTAAAATATGCCCTCACATCACAGATCACGTGAGTAGAGTACAATCTGCATAAGCCATCAGATGTCTATCTGAATGTCTTGGTTCATGGTAGGATATTCCTGTTTATTGTGTTTGTGAGGTTTTACTATTACTAAAGCATTTCCAAGAAATAGAAGCCGTTGTTCACGCTCTCTTGCTTTCTAAATGTTTCTAAAGATATGCCTTTAAAATGAAATAAATCGATACAAAAAGCCTTTTTATTCTACAGGATAATCCTCCTCCCTGTCCCACCACTTCCCTCTATTTTAGAAGCCCACAGGGTTTATAAGACAGCCTATTAAGTTGAAGTTAGAGTTTGGTGAACTTTTGTATGCAAGGTCACGCTCAGTTAATCCTATTTGTAATCAAGCCTTTCTTCTTTCTCTGGTCCAGAAAAGGACCATGTTGTCTTTGGAGCAATCACAGTCGCAGTCTGCTGCCTGGAGGTCAAACTGTGTGGAGTTATTTAGCGTATTAAGTATGCCTGTTTGGTTTGCCGTTTGAACCGCGCTCACCATGCTTTGATGATTAGCCCGTGGCTTTGTTTCTACGTCAAGGCCGCTTTTGTGAAAGCATAGTTGTAGCAGTTGTAGAGATTGTCCGATAACTGCTGTTGTTTAGATGTTTGGATTAGGGTTGGAGGAGATAAATGTACGAGCTGAAGTGCCGTTTTCAGGTTCGGCTGATTTATGTGATGCTTTTGTTCAGGCCACGGCGTGACACTCTGTCTTTGGAATGTAACTCTTTACCTAATGTGTGAGATTTCACTTTTTCTTACTATTCGGATGATTAATCCGTTTCTGTATTTGTCCTTGTCTTCCTCTCCGCATGACTCACTCTGTAGCCCCTGCAGAGCCTTTACTGTGCAAGTTTGCTGACGGAGGCCAGAAGAAGAGGCAGACGCAGGTCAAATATCCCCAGAATGGCCGACCGTGGACACGGGAAGGAGAGGTGAGGCTCGAAAATGTATTTAATCATCAAAAAGACTTAGCAGTACCCATCATTAAAGATTCCCTTTACCAACCACAGCAGTTTCCCCCCCTCTTCATAAAACAGTGGAAAAGGGAAATTTGAAGACAAGAACCAATGTGTTTGTTACAACATAATCCTTTTTACCCCCTGCCACTATGAAAGAAAACAACATAGAATTGTTCCTCAGGCAGAACTGTGCAGACAATTTTGAAATTAAATCAACTGCAGGCTCTCATATTTCACAATCAGAATTAGTACATCAAGTCCACTGAGTGGGTTTGTAAGAGGAAATGGTAAAGTTAACAAAACCAGACGAGCTTTTATAGTCACAAGTGCGACTACACAATATCCACAAACGTCTTTTAAACTGTTTCCTACTCGGCTTTCTAGCCAAAGGGTACAGCAGTCTTATCATAATAGTCAGAGCAATGAGAGAGAATTGTTATTGCACATAGTACAATAGTCTGCACTGCCTCCTAGGAAATGGTACCCGTATGCTTCATAGAAAGCATAATAAGACATTTTTCATTATTTTAAATATCAGCTGATAATGCCTTTGACAACAGTTTCTTTTCCACATTTTACAACAGAGTTTAAAATCAGAAAAGCTTGACAGGCCCCCCTGCGGGATCATTATCAGCTTTCATTTCCAGTAACGTACTGTAGGCTGAATTAGAGATGCTGCTGACAGTATGAAAGCTGGCGTATATAAAGGTTGTTAAATTCAAAATATAAGGTTTCTGCAAGACCCCAATGCCAAGTTGTTTTTGCTTTTGTTGAAACTCCCACCTCCAGTCTGTCATCTTCTGAAGAAATGAAACCTTGTACAGAGGATTGAAAGCAGATTGACTGTTGCACAATGCAGAGAGTTCAGAAGTTTTTAGTGTCAATACCAAAGCTTTAATTTACAGAACAAGGGAAAGTGAATAATAATGTCACCACCCACACACTGAGTGCAGCTTTTCCGCAGTTTCCCAATATTCACATCACATGGAGGCTGGGAAAGAGCAGGGTGGTGAAGTGTAATGAAATGAAATAAGGCTGAAACTGTGCACTGCAACAAGAGCCGCCACGACAAAAAAACAGAATGCTGCAGTGTGTGTGTGTTTGACCTTCGTGTGTGTCTGAGTGTAGCAGGCCCAGATTGCGGTTTTAATTTATATTTATAAGAGCAAACAGTGACGCATCACATCAGGGCTTCCATGGCATCAGGCGTCCAGGCGTCAGTGATTCTTCTTTTGTGCCCTGTTGTCAGCATTTGTAAATTGTCAGTTGGATGTGAAATAAATGATCAGTGCTTTCAGTGAGACTCCTCGCACATTTGTCAGTGGCATAAGTCCTGACAAGCCTCACTTGGCCCTGAAGCATCTCTTCAGAGGTTTGTGCTCTGGTCGGAGCCAGGTCTCCGAGTCCAGGCTGACTAATAGAGACATCTGGCCGTGGAGATGCTTTGAGGTGCCTCACTGCACCCTCACACTCAGTCAACCGATCTTAATCTCCCAGAACCCCTTACTCCTAAATGAGTCTGGCCTTGGGACAATGACATGAGCACATGTTACACACACAATCACTCATGGAGCGGTTGTTCAGAGAAACACACACAGCATGCAGTGTGCTCGTTTTTAGATTTAGGAAAGTTGTAGGACGAGCTACAAACATCCAAACGCTTCACAGAACTCATCTCCAGCTCTGTCTCAGAAATCCTTTTTGCTGCAAAGGACAATTTAATAGATGTGCAGGAAAACAGCACTGAATATACGTTTTCTCAAGGTGAACATTTCTTCTATATGTGTTATGCTGTTTTACCTTCTCTAAATCAAATGTTTGTAGAAAGGCTGGTATGGAAATGAACCCCGAGCTTTGGAATTATTAATTTTTAGCACTTCTCATTTCCCCCAGTCCTGGCAAGACACAGTGTTTGGGGAAAAAACCAAACATCGTGGTAGAGTTCAGCATCAGGGCACCCTTTCAACTCATGTGCCAATTTGGAGAGAAGAGTCTTGGGTGGAATATAGAACAAGTACAAATGACTTGGGTAAGACTGCAGATAGAGGAGGAGCAGTGATAGAGGGAAACATAGAGATGGAGAAAAAATAAAGCCTGGAGAATGAAAACTCTATTGTTTCTGTAAGTTTGTTCTAAAATTGCCAAAAGGCGGCGAGTGGATGAAGAGCTTATTCAGTGTTGAGCAAAGAGAAGTACAGTCTCATTCATTTGAAAATGATAGAGGAAGTGAGACAGAAAACGTTGAAAGGGAAAAGTGTCACTTAATAAGAAAAGCTTGGCTTATTAGCAACATTTAATGCAGAGGAAGAAGGACATAGAGAATAAACATTTTGCTCTGATGCTGAAATAATGCGGCTGCTATATAAAACCTCATGCTGTTCAGATATACCGAGTAGGGTAGTAATAACTGAGCCCTGTAGCAGCTGGAGATTGATATAGGAAAATTACAGTGTGGCGTCCACTTGTGGTTCCATCAGCACCGCTTCCTGCATTTGAGATGTCACGGTGTATCATGAGCTGAAAACTATTGTGTGTACACTTAAAACATTATAGTTTGCATTCATTTGTTGGTGAAATTTACACAACATATCAACATGGGATATTCAATCCAAGGTGTAATCAAAATTTTTGACTCATTCGGCTGCCCAACACAATGGTTTCATTCTCTCAACAATGGAAATAAAACATTGTTTGGAAAGTTTGTCGCCACTGTGGCCAAAGTTCTGTTGTCTCTCTGTCCAGTTCATGCCAAACCAGCACAATAGTGTTAGAGTCTGCACATTGTCTTGGTCTGCCATCATTTGACGCCCACTGTTTTGATCTTGTCCTCTGTCATCAGCTATAGGATGAACCTCTGAGCAAGCCATCTTTAATTATTTGTCTTTTTCTTAGATTTCTATTAACAATATACAATACTACTCCCTACAGTACAGTGTTGTGTAATAATGCATCTGAGGGTCAGGTAACACAGTTGTAAAGCCCCTTTCAGACATACAATCCTTTCCATTAATCTGATGGAATCTGAATATGTCAGCTTCACCAAGGTTACATTTCAATAACAGTTGTAACTCTGCTAAATTGGACTAAGTCACACTTACATATCACTTACAACATGACACCAGTCCCAACTGCATGTTGTCGCTTTAGTACATGCACAACCAACATACTTGGAGTTGTGTGAAGTGATTAGGGGAAGGCTTTTTCTACTTTACAATACCAATTTTGTTCCAAAATTATGACAGAGAACACACAGTGTGCATGCCAAAATCAAAGAAACATATTTCTCATTTAATTTTACATGTATTCCAAACTGTGATAAAGAAGAAGAAGCTTTATTGTCACTGTGCAAGAGATACAACAGTATTCCATTTGGCATCATCTTTGCAGCAGCTAATAAGGTCACAGTCTAAGAAAAAAAGTTAAAAGGTGATATAAATAATGAAATCGCTCTAAAATATAAGAAAAATACTGTTAAAAATGCAAAAGAACATTTGTTGGAATGAATTCGTAAACTAGGAGTGTCATGGTTCCTGCAGCAGTCTCTTCACAGCCATGGGGACAAAAGCTGAGTTTTAAAGAGAGAGACAGTTAAAGGTCACATTAATGAGATTTACCAATAATTAATGTCATCGGAGTTTTGACAAAAGCCACAGGAGCTCAAGCTCACCCTGTTGTTTCCAGCCATTTATTACAGTTCTTGATTTGCAGCATCAAACAGCTGCAGGATCCATATGAATGTCTTAAAAGCGAGCAAGAGAGCTGTGCGCATTCATGCATGTGCCACAGCAATAACTACAGTCGTGACTCGATAGTCTGACACTTCATATAAAGCCTTCTTTTATGTCGGATAGCAAGGCTGTCGGATTGTAAAGACAGAGGTCAAGATACAAGGAGGGCTTGATGCTTGATGGGTCATTTGTTGTTGTTGTTAATATTCATTGTTTATAGTTGTTATAATAACTAGTAGGGCTGGTCCGAATAGCACTTTCTGGGCTCAATTACTGATGAATATCAGAATATTCGGCTCAGTCAGGCGGCCACTTCCACCCCGAGGGAGCGCTCCGATGGGGTGGAAGTGACCGGAACGCACAGGCAGTACTTGACTGCTGATGCTGGTTTAGTTAGCAGTCGCCTTCTGTGGAAACAGAAGACAATCACCGCCACCATCCGTGTTTACTTCCGTAAACACTGAGCACGCTCGCTGCGTGTGACGTCGATGTGTCCTCTTCTGCGCATGCGGGACACTTTTGGGTCGTATGAAGTTCACACAGCAGATCACATACAAGTCGCATTTAATTGGAAATGTGAACGTACTCGCAAAAAAATTGGATTTCACAAAAAAATCCGAATTGAGCATTAAGTCCTGCAGTCTGAACGTAGACGATCTGTTGGATTGTTAAGTCAGAAAATACACTGTTATCCTTATTTGTGACAGAAAATGTCATGTCGGAGTCGGAATCCAAGGCTGTCGGTATGTTAAGGCTATTTTTAAAGGGTTCTGTTCGTTTTTCCTAAAAACCTGTCGGATAGCAAGGTTTTTGTTAAGGTACAGATTATCGAGGCACGACTGTACTTGTAATTATAGATTATCCTGACATGGATACAGAATCAATCGAGATTGAATGGCAAATCACACTTTGTACTTTTTTGCCCATATTACACAGGCGAGCTGCACACAATTTATAATCTGCAGTTAAATCATTTGTGACATCTTTTGTTTATTAGGAAAAATATCACATACATACTGTGACGCTCTCCATCACTCTTGTGAGTAATCTGAATGAAGAAATGATAAACATTGATGTAAAAGTGACCTTTGTGAAAAAAAAAGCTGAAAAATTGAGAGCGTCTTAATTTTTTTCTTTTCTTTTTTAAAATCAGCAACCTGCATTCTATGCAATAGCTGCCAATGCTCTCTTAACTTTAAACATGTTCAGTTTGAGCAGAGTTAGCACCTCGATTTATACCACCCAGTGTAGATTTATGTCTCCCTCCATGTGCATCTTTAAGTGTACCGTGTGAATCTATTCCACTTTTAAATATCCTTTAATGTTGTAGAATGTTTCTGAGCAGCAGCATTTAGCACATTGCATTTAAAAAACGGTGTTTGGGGCATTTAAGTTTAGTAATGTTTTCTTTGTTTTAGTAAAGTCATCCTCTTTGATAACACTTCTTCTTATTAGTGTTTATTTTTACATTGCTAAGGATCATCTTGTTAAATAAGCTCTGCAGTTATTTGTTCTTTCTAATATGCACGGCTGTGTTCTACTTCAATTTCTATTTGCAAACAGCTTGTAAATAAACTTGACATTTGAAAGCATTTTTTTCTTTTTTAAAAAATTAAAGGCCAAAAAAAAAAAATGGCTGAGAAATCATCTGTCTTTGTAGTTTGTCTTCTGGCGACTAAAACACTAAGTTAATTAAACTAAAAACGTATTCTGTTGTTACGTCCTTACCATGCAATACCCACTCACACCAACTTGTCCATGCCTGTGTGCTTTTTGTGCAGGTCTTGCACTCACTTGTGTATATCAGTGAAATTTTAGTGAAATCTTGTCTTTTTTTTTTTTTTCTTTCCCTCTCCACTGTATCTCCTTCTCTCAGTTCATTACATACAAGTGAATCAGATTGGATGGATGTCACTTTACAAATTATAGTTTATACATCAAAGTACAAAAAAATGAAGAGAATAAAGAGAGATGATTGAAAAGACATCTGAAGTATGTTAATTTTTTGTTGTATGTTTCCCTCTTTCTCTCTCTCCCCAGAGCGGTATGGCGTTGACGTACGATCCGACAGCGATGCAGAATGGGTAGGTGGAAAGTTTCCCTCTCAGATTTACAAACTGGGTCTATAACTTTAGACGTCTGCAAAGTTTACTTTTGATTACACAAGAAAACCTGGAAGGATGAACACACACATCACTCAGCCATCAGCACTGATATGCACAAGAGCTCTTGCATGCAAATGAGGAAGCCACACATTTGCGCAGGTACTCAAACTGACACGCAACGCGCAGGTCGTGAACGCACACACGCATTGACTACACATGAAAATGAGCTTTTTAGCTATACATGGTTTGTATTGTGCATTGTCCCTGCTAAATAAACAATAATTGGATGCACTCTATCTGGCTCTCGCCCTCATTCTCACATCTGACTGATGCAGATGGAGCATTTATTTATGCACCTATGCATACAAGCTGTCAGACATGTAGGTTTTGATTGCAGACAGGGAAGATGGGCGGTGTTGCAGTGCCGCTGTAAGACTTTCGTCAGCCAAGGCTATCTGCAGTGCTTCCAAACTGAATGCAGAAAGCAGAGTGTCTGCCTGTTTCAGGGGGAAATTGGAGATCGGTCCTGTCTGCTAGGAATGCTGCTGGTGATGCGATCCCTGGAGATGCTTCCCTCTCTGCTCTGCGTTCCTCATCTCATCAGTCCTCCTTCCTTTTTGTATCCCTACTTTCCCAATTATCACAACAGGATCCACATTTTACCTGCTGCCTTTACATTCTTCATCTCATCTTCAAACCGGTCTTCTTTGGATTGTCTGACCTTGTACGCTAAATTATCTTTTAGCCCTTTTTGACTTGTTCTTTTCTTCCACGCGTTGTTTTTTTTTTTTGTTGGGGGTTTTTTTTTTTTTTTTTTCTTTTCTTCCACGCGTTGTTTTTTTTTTTTTCTCTCGATCCTTTCTTCTTCTCATTCCTGCTCTTTTTTTTTTTTTTCTCTCGATCCTTTCTTCTTCTCATTCCTGCTCTCTATTTCCAAGCAGCTGCTTCACTTTCGGTCATCTCTGATGTCTTTTTTGTATGTGTGCGTGTTCGTGCATACATAAATGCATGCTCACACGCGAGCATCTGTGCGCCTCCGGTGTTTAAGCCCTTTCCGACCTCTCTTCCGAGGTCATCGGAGCTCCTTCCGGCAAGGCACTAAATGACTGCGAAATGCTAATGCAGCTAATTAGGGAGGCGAAAAGCAGGGAGGAAAGGGGGTTGAATAAAAATGGAGGGCCGAGCTGGGTCAAGAGGAGGGCAAAGGCAAAAATAAAGTCAGCCCAAGGAGAGAGGAAGGGTACGAATCAATTACAGGTTTGCTAGTCTCTCCAAGCTTGAGGACAGCTGGTTTTTTAGGGTTCGCTGCCAGTCTGATGCTATCGGAGACATGTGTCCCTACCGGCCAGACTCCTCTGGCACATAGCCTGTCCTCTGTTTTATCAGGGAGATATAACATTCACTTTCTCATTGTCTCTTTTCTCTCAATCTCCTACCTCCTATCTGGTCTATTTGCTGTCCTCTTGTTTCTCCATCCATCTCTCTCTTTCTCCCTGCCTCTGTTTTTACCTCTCTGTCTCTGTATCTATACGTCCTCTCATTCCGTCTCTCCTGCCCACACACTCATATACATTTTAACATGCTCCCCCACATTTCTCCGCTGAAAAGTCACTGAGGTCAGCACTAAATCATTCACTAATTTTTCAGGGCAAACTCCTGACAGGGCATTTAGATCACCACCAGGGATTCACAGAGGTTTTAAATTCAATCCTGTTGTAATGTTCTGTTCGCAATTACATGTTTAGTGCATTGTTTAAACAGCCGCGCTGGAGTCCCCATTGACAGCGCGCTGCTCAGGGCTAATAGCCTCCATCAATAACCTTGGATCTGTCCTCTGCCTACTACTTTCCTCTCTCAATACACATCACTCTAATGAAAAATACAATAAACACAATCAGAGAGCCATATTGAATAACCCGGCTGCTTTCTCTCATTTGTATTCATCAGTGACAGTAATACAGTATCTCTAATGCAAGTCATACATTAATTGTACAGTCAAAAAGATGGATCTATACCACTGCATTATCAGCCAGAGTTTTTTTTTTTTCTCATAATGATCACTTTGACAAACAAGTACCAGTTTGTTATCCAGCTTAGATCCATCTTTGTTTGTCCAAACCTTTCAACTTCATGTTGGGTTTATGGTTAAATACACAGCCAAAAAAAGGACATACTAATGGAGAACATTTGCATAACTGACCAGCAGTTTCCTTGTGTGCAGTATATACAAGGACACTTATGGAGATGTTCAAGGTAAACCAGAGTTGAAGATGCATGGGGGGGGATTAAACTAAATCTATGCCTCTTCAAAGAGTTGGGTAAGTGGGATGAGCTAGTGTCACCTAAGACACCTAAGGTAGAAAACAGTCAACCTGCACCTGAACTAGAGCTGAACCTGCTGCTAATTAGTAAGATTTCTTTGTCTGGCTTCACACAGGTGAACCACATTGTATTGTAGACAAGTAGAAAGTGGCAACTGAAGCAATATCCTTTATGTACAATTACTACTTAGCTTTCAGTGCACCAAGTAGAGCATACAAATCCAACAGGGAGGCTGCATGTCTGTGTGAAGCACAATCACACTCTGCAGCTTATCACAGTCAGTTGGAAACCAGCTGCATGCATATGGCCTGGACTGCAATAGTTTAAAAATATCTGAGGGTTTGCATCTTGCAGCCGAGGTTCAAAAACTGCTCGTGCCATCGCTGACCGAACAAATGTAATGTGAAACAGAAAGTGCAATAACAGAACAGGTGGGCACCTCAGGAACCCATTTCACCCTTGAAATGAGTTGTGTGCCGGTGTCACAGTGCAGTAGCACCAATCCCATTTTCCTGTCTTTGGCTGGTTGCTGAGCCACACCATAATCTCTGTACATTGTATATAATATACATCCTAATGAAAAAGACACAGAAAACAAATAACATTTGTGGTTGTAGTTTCATGTAACCTTTAAACTAACAGTGTGGGGGTTTTTTTTTTGTATTTTTCTTCCCCAATTAAAAAACACATGATTAGTGGCGAGGACCTTTTCATACAATCATGGCTGTGTTAGAGATAGACAGGGGAGGGCTTCTCTCGCTGTCTCTGTCCCTCTCTTTTCCCTCCTCTTGCTTGCTCCATTATTCAGTCAACAGACATTTTGGGATCGATCGGGCACAGCAACACGGCCTGGCGGATGAAACATGTCCTCTCTAGGTACACAATGATAAATAAAGCACTGCGAGCCACAGCATTCTACCGCTGCAGGGTTGAGGGGGGTGAAATGAAAACAAAACGGAAAAAAAAACAAAAAAAAACAGATGGAGCAAAATCAGAAGGGCAAACAAAGGTATAGGTGGAGAAGTAAACAGAGTATAAAATGCAGATGTTACAGATGCAGCCTTCTCTGGAAAGTGGGCTTTTGCGTAGGTGGGAACATAAAGGGCAATATTGAAATATTTCACCCACTCACACATTAAGGTGATAATTCATTATTATGCATAGCAGTGGAGCAGACTCCTTTGTAACATGATGTGCACTCCGGTGCAGTGTCAAGTCTCATTCTAAGATGTCTTTGATGGTGTGGCACAGAGTGAAGCTGCAATATTTATTGTTTCCATGACAGCCTTGATGATGTCTGATCCATTTTGTCAGCGGTATCTTGAAGTGTGGTGGGTAGTTGAAAACGAGGAGAAGCAAAAGGCTCATTTTCACCTTTCCACGTGGAGAGCTAAAGCTCTATGTGCAGGGAAGCATCTTCTTGACTGATATATTTATGTAAATACAATATCTATTTTTAACATATTCCTGGTTCAGTTTTAACCCTCCTTCTGTAAGTCTGGTGATATAGATGTCAAAAGTGAAGCTGTTCTTTATATGCGTCTGTAGGTTCTACTCTTCGCCGTACAGCATCTCCACCAACCGGATGATTGCTCAGACGTCAATCACACCCTTCATTGCTGCCTCTCCTGTCTCCACATATCAGGTAGGTGGATCCTCTCAGAATATTGATGGGTTAAACGAAGGCCAGCGTTTGCCCCGCTGTTGTACTTTCCATGTCCGCAAGTGCGTGAGTGTACGTGAGGGTCTGCGAGGGTTCGCGTAGAATAAATTTTGTCATCTCCTGAAACCAAGTGTCTGCACAGACCTTTTTGCAGATGTCTGGTTGAAGGCCAAAAAATACTGCAAGGACAATAATGCGCATGCCCTGCCAAAGTGTGCACGTGTAGAAAATGCAAATGCCAACCTACAGTGCATGTATGGAATGGAGTCCTCCCAGCGCACTAGAAAGTTGTAATAGTAGTGACTACACTTTAATGTATCCCCAGCTGGCCATATGTGCATCTGCAAGGGAGTATAATTAAGGCTTGAGCTTTGAGGGCACGCCAAGGACTTTATCATTGCTCCAGAAATTGACAGGAGCATCCTGAAAAGTGTCGGACAAGTTACTCGACAACAGCAATCAATGACTCATTATGCATCATTTACTTAAAAAGTGACTTTGTTATTTAGCTGCTCAGAAAAGGTAATGCGTCACATTACTCCTTACTTCCTCCACACTTACACCGACTGTCTTACATTTAATGCATGTAGAGACAGAAAACAAAACGTTCTAGTTTAGCAAGAAAGTAGGATTTAACTTCTACATTTAACATTTAGCATCTAGATAAAACTAAGGATCTCCTAAATGTACAGGTATCTGACCCGATATCAGCTGCTATCAACACACCATCTAGCATTAACTAACTCCAGTTAACACAGAAAACAAGTTGACAAAATGTCAAAGAAACAGCAGAGTATTTCAATTTACTGTATAGTTCCAAATTAATTCTGAAAATAGTAATCACGTTACAGAGCTATTAGAGCAATGTATTTCTGCCCAACAGTTATCTTAAAGGTCAGTTCAATGAAGCTTCTGTACTGTCTAATAAATGATAGATATGGGTTTAGATGAATAACTTTACAGCTAAAGCAATAATTTGTCATGTTTTAAATTCAAGATACTTTTGGAAATTGTTAATTGCAAATGCATTACAGAGCACACATGCTCCTGACTTGGCAAACTTGCTGGCCAGCCATCAGATTTAGCAAAGCAGCCAATGTTCTTCAGTAGATACACAGTTCTTACATGACGTCCAGTGGTCATGCAGTGACACCTGATAGCATTCTGTTAGCACCTGCCATGCGAAAAATAGAACCATCTTAGTGTAGCAGTTCAAAGCTTGTGATTTTGAGGTGTAAACCTGATGATTTTGTGCATAATTTATCTACATGTTTATTTATAAAGTATTCTGTTATAGTGTTTGCACAAGTAAACTTCATTTCAAAATGTCAGAAAGCTTGTTAAGCCCTTTACTGGTTATTAGGGACCAAAATATGCTATCTTAGTAGCGCACTTGGAATGAAACTGGAATGCCTTTGCATGTGAACATCCGATTCAGGTTTCAGAGTGGCACCAATTACCTGAGGAGCTGCAGCTTCTGTCATTGATATACAGTAGCTATGGTAAAGCATCTCACTTTCTGAGCAAAAATGAAACTGTGAACATATATACATGATGATTTAGAAGAGATAATAGAGACCCATTCAAGTGTTTAAAGGCCAGTTAACAGGATGCCAGTTTCCCACCGTGCACAGTGGAACAAGTCAGGTCAGCAGTCACAATTTAATTAATTAAAGAATAATGGCTACAGGAATGTCAGATAGCAATTTCAAAATTGTGTTGTGTTTGTGTTTGCTAACATTGCAGGTGCCTGAACAGATCGCGTGCACTCATGAGTAACCAGGATGCCAATATTTATCATGTGTATAGAGGGATATGCATGACCAGATTTCTCTGTGTTTCATGTAAATCCTAAATAAGCCTCATAACTGGAATACTCATGTCCATGTAAACACACTTATTGTTAGTTCTGGTCTTTTCCTGGGATTTGCTCTCAGAAAGAAAGCCTTAGAATAACAGTGGCTTCATCTTGAATGAAGTTAACATCTCAGTGATCCTACACCAGAGCTGAGCTATTGAAATATTATTAATATTTCAAATCAGTCCCCTCCACAGCAGCATACTTTGAATTTATTCTTGACTTTAGAATTAGATTAAATGAGCAATTTCTGCTGTTGTCCAAGTGTAATTGTTGCATGTACAGAAAGCAAGTGAAGGTTGTCATTCCTCAAGATACAGAAATAGAGTTATCAGCTCTTACCATTCAAGACCATTCTTAGTCTAGCAATGATAAAATACAGGTTTATGTTGCAGCACTCCTCCCATTGATCTTTCATTCTTAGTCACAAATGCTTCTTTTATCTCTCTGTTCCCATGTGCCGCGTCCTCCCTTTTCCACATTCACAAACCATACCAAGTCAAGTCAAAACTGCTTGGCAATATAGCTGCAGTTCTTTGAGAGCCTTACTCAGTAATTGATCCTCAGTTTGTCAAACACATAGATTTTAAAACAAACTGCAGTCCTCCCCCACAGGTTTTCACTAGCATGAGATACTGCTGTAAATGAGAGAGACAAATGGAAAGACACACCTTCAGCAGTGCAGAATTCACAGTCACATCCTGCTTTCTGAGGAAAACAAAGGAAGAAATTAACATGTCTTGAATTACTTAGCACCCAACACACAGATGTAGGCAAGCAAACAGACATGTATGTGCACACCGATCAGCAACACCATTAAAACTAGATCAATCCTGATCTGATGTCAAAGATCAGGATTGGCTTTATTGAGCACCAACCCAAGCCCGATCCTTTGTGTGCGTCTGCTGTTACACGGTTGTACCTCATTGGCAGCTTTTGGGATCAATATAACAATAACATGGAGTGATTACAGTGGTCATTTGTCCTGTGCTCATCTTGCTTTTTGTAATCAGCAGACACATTATATAGGCTGCAAAAGCAACATGATTATTGTTGACTCTTTGAATTTACAATATCCTAGTTAGCCTGAGCTCAACATCAAATACATGAGCTCTTGCCAGCAGTTATTGAGCATCACAGAAATCCTTTTTCTTGGTGGCCTGTTGTAGCTAATCCCCCCAAAATGCCCTCTGGTTAGTTCAAGTGAACCCTCTTTAGGTCACTAAAGTATTAAACAGTAAGATGTTCTACCTGTTCTACCAAAGCAACACACATTTAAGGATAATTTTAAAAAGAAGCAGGGATTTTCCCGAGATGGCAACAAAGCCAAATAGAATACAAAGAGAGTGATTGAATTTATTGTGTTGGATGAGCAGCACATTACTGTGGTAGAGAATACAAGTTTTTTGGTGTTACTTTGTGCTAGTAAAGCCATGGCTCTCTCAAAATTATATTTCAGACAGTGTCCTACTGGAGCTTTGTATCAAAGTTCGTGACCACCTACATAACCTTAAGGAACAGCTTGGGTGCAGATTTTTTCCCCCCATGCATTGCAGAGCTATTCAGCCATCAATCATCTACACTGGATTAATTTTAATAACTTTAATTTACTTGAAGTGTGTATTGCCTAGGAAAACGATATCAGATTGGAACTCTGTGTCAGCAGATACTCAATATTCAGTGATTCAGATCGGGGTCAAAATAAGTCGATTAGGACGTCCCTAATTAAAACCACCTGCCTAATATTGTTTAGGTTCTCGTCGTACTGCCAAATCAGCTCTGACCCGTCGATGCAGAGACACTGAACCTCTGAGAGTGCCCTGCGCTGTCTGACACTGTGGATTGTAGCCTGCATGGACTGGACTTGGAAAGTCAACATCTTTGGGCTCTTGGCTGAGTTCCTCGAGCTGTTCCTGAGCAGTTTTTACAATGTGGTTGAGCGTGTTTTCCTGCTGGCAGAGGCTCCTGATGTGGGGGGCTATGCTTGATCTGGAACACTGTTTAGGTGCTTGATACATATCAAAGTAACATCGACATGAATGCCCCAGCAGAACGTTGCAGTGTATCCAGAGGATCAACGTCAGTGGTTTTAATGTTGTGGCTGATTGCTGTATAATTGCTACACACTATACATGCATCCCATATCTCACATATAACAAAGGGACCTTCAGGGACTTGTTTCTCCTCATGTTAGGGTTGAGCAGTCCTTAGCAGGACAAGATAAAAGTAGTGATTTGTGGCCAAGACAGGCTTTGATGATGAAACCCTCACTACGAAGGCAGTAATTGTTAGACTGTTTTGCTCTCTGTGGTCTTCATATCCTCTTATAATTACAACATAACATACAGTATAGTGGACCCTCAGTTACTGCTGTAATATTCTTTAAGACATGCTGCCGTAGGGACTGAGGCTCTGAAATGGGCTTGTAAAGACTTGAGCTAATGATTAATTTTCTTTCTTCTCTTCTTTGGTTTTTTCATTTTCACTCCCTTCCTGTCATTCTGTCTTCCAATTGTCCTCCTTTATGCTCTCTCTTCCTCAATTCTTTACCCACTTATAACTATCTTCTTTTTGATCTTCCCTTTCCTCTCATCTCTTCCTGACCTCCCTTCTGCATCCTCCTACTCATGCCCATCCCCTCCTTCTTTAATTACTTTATTTTCCTTGTCCTTCCCTTTGTCCTACTCTCCATCGCTCTTCTTTCTATTTACTTCGTCATCTCTGATCTTTTTGTCGTCACCTCTGCCTCGGCTTTCTCTTCTCCTCCTTTATTCTTCATAGGTCCAGAGTACATCTTGGATGCCACATCAACAGTATGTTATGCAACCTACAGTAAGTTTTTGAACCAGCCTTTCCTTTGTTTTTTGCGTCATGTGTTAGCATTTCCCAGTGGAGTCATTTTCTCCTTTCTTCAACCCTTTTCACTAACTCCTTTTTTTAAAAATAAAACATCCCTGCCTGCCATCTCTGGGTGTAAGCAAGTGTCAGTATTTGCTCCTTGTGTTTCTTCTTAGTGTAATAATTTGAAAACTTGTAAAGTGTGTTCATTAGGTCCTGGTGTGAATGTCAGTGTCTGTATTTATGGAACAAAGACAGATGCACTGAATGCTTCTGAAATTCCTGTTGTAACAGCATTTATTGTAATCCATGTTTTTTCTCTGGTCAAATTAATCTTTAGTTTATTAGAGTTGAAAATCATACTGATGGCACTGACAATAGGACTCTAGCAAATCCTTAAAGAATGAATCACTAGGATTGCAAAAAGCCAAGCAATAAAATGATATTCAAATTTCCAGCAAGTACATTTTATAAGAGCCAAACCTCAGTCAGACCAGTAAAAAAAAAAATGTAGCCCTACATCTCAGCCCTTCTCTGCTGAATCAGCCTGTGAATGGCCTCCCCAAAGCAGCTCAGGACCTCAGGGAAGCTGGCAGTAAAATCTGTAACAAAAGGCTGCTCCCTGCTGGTCTGAAATGAAACTGCAAGATACAAAAAAAAGAGAAAAAAAAAAGGGCCTCCACAAAGGCAGTGTTTAGCATATTATGGATATTAATGTGAGTTTAAACATGTAGCTGCTGATTAGACTTATAGCTATTGACATAGATGTACCAATACTTAACAATAAAATCCAATTGAGAAATAGAAAAATCTATGCTTGGTGTCTGACAGGAGACATCAGCATGTCTGTTAGTTTTTAGTTACAGCGTAACAAGCACAAACACACACACACACACACACACACACACACACATCCTTTCACACACACATAACTTTGAAATGTAAGTGGTAAAACACACCCGTATCTATATCCACATGTCCAGTCACATATACAGTGTCGACTCTGAGTGTAGGTGTACAGTCAATACGCACTATAAACCTACACTCACCCACCAGCTCTGTCCTCTGTTCTCATACTCTCTGAAAGACAAACGTAACCTTGATGCAAACTTCAAGGTTTTTTACTTCCTTTTATCCCGAGACTGTATACAGCTATAGGAAACAAGCGATGGAGCCCACACAGGGCTTCTCTCTAATGCAAAGCCTGCACTGAAGTCGGTAACTGCTTCTAGCAAACAGTATAAAATCTCTACACCTTCATCCAGAGTGCCGTATTTAATTAGCGGAAGAAGTGACGTACGGTGTTGCTCTGTCTGGCCTCAGCAGTTCAATCCTGCTCACAAGTTGATTACTTCTCACTGCAGCGGGGCCAGTGGATTAGAAAATCATAGGCAGAGTAGATTCATGTTACAGTAACCTTGAAAGTGCTTCAGATGAAAATAAACTTTAATCACCTCTTAAACATTTATTCAGTAATAGTTCACAGTTCCCTTATCAGTCATTTTTACATTAACTCTAAAAAAAATGTTATAGCCTGTAAAAGGAGCATTTAACGTTTACACCCAAGGGTTTTAATTGCACACCTGTCCTGAAAGTGCCCCATCGCTCTGTCAATCAGGAAGTGAAGGAGTTAATCAAGAAAAGTGCACAACACAGTAGGAATTTTAGTGATCGTGACCGTAAAGGCTGGCAAAGCCTTCAGTCACAGTACATTATGTCGACAGCTATGACATCCTATGATGACACTGTCTCCTTCCAGTGTTTCTCTAATGGAGGAATACTTCAGGCTCCTGTTGTATCTGTGTTTTTCTAGAAAATAAAGTCAGATTCACCTACCAAGAGACAATAGTCAAGACAGATATTATCATTGAGATTTCTATCATGTTGGCGAGTTGGTTTCCTGCCAGCGTCGACATTTTATACCTGTAAAATTCAGTTATGCGCCATTGAAATTGTCAGCTGCAGGGGTGGTTAAAGATAGAGGCAGCACAGATACGGTACATCAGCCATGCACTGAGGAATTCTAACGAACACAGCAGTTAAACATGTTCAAAATTCTGTCGCTCCCTCTCTGTTGTTCTCTCTTCCTATCTGTTTTCCTCTTTGTGTCTATCTGGCAAATCCTAAACACATTCTGTTGTCATATCTGATTAAAATTATGTCTGTGAGAGAGGATAATACCCGTCTGTAAATGTGTTTTCAAACAAATGTCCCATCTAATTATTTGGCAGGCCGCTTGATATGACTTCCTAAGACTTGGGACAAGACAGAGAGAGAGAGAGGGAGAGAGAACGATAGCAGAGAAGAGAGAATGAGGGTTTGGAGAAAGAGAAAATAGATAAATAAGAGAACTCTGGATTTGACAGAGGAAGGACAGGGGAGAGAAGCTGGTGCAGGGAAAGGAGAGGAAAGAAGGGATTACAAAGAATAAATCAAGAACAAAGCAGAGAAAACAACTGCTGCAAAAGCATGTCTGGGCTGTGTGCGCCTGTTCCCCAGCCTTGTCTCTGCATAGTCAAAATCCCTGTTAGACAACAAAGGCGAAGGCTAGTCATTGTATTTCCTGGATACAGAAAAGCTTGGCAAATTAAAGCTGCATCAGGGAGGGAGACTGAGAGAGAGACACAGTGGCTTAATTCTGTTCCTATGGCAGCAGAGGCTTCCTCTCTGCTGTACCGCAGTTAATAACTGGTAACTTTGATTAATGGTGTGCACTCACTGACACATTTAGGTTGACGCACACGTGCACGGCACTGCTAATCACTCAGTCAACAGTCCGTCATGGAGCTGGAGGTTTACACGCCTGTGACACCACATGCATTACTGACAAATATAAATAGACTCAGAGTTGCTAAAGAATTTAAGGACTCTTATTAAAAGGTTAAAATGAGAGAGCTAAAAACAGCACTACGAGTTTTTTTTCAGGGCTCAGGAATAAAGCTCCACATACATAGACTCAAATAACTGTATTTACGCACAGACACAGGCGCAACCACACACTCTCTCAGACTAATTCAGACACACTCGCATTAAACACACCTATACACACAGCGAAGTGCCTTAAGGATGTGTGTTTCCGAGCCTTGGTGGAATGCCCAGATTACTTGAACTCCCTGTCTTTACATCTTAATTAGTGAGAGGATGTCTTTGTGCATAATTACTCACAAATCCCCCTACAGGAAATGAATGCATTACCCTAACCGTGCATAGCAAGAAAGACAAGGAAGGCAGCTTATTGGGGAGGGCTGTAATAAGACATCCGAAGAATTGGGATTTCAGATCTTCCTGAGTTAAATTGCCATGTTAAACCCATTTGAGGAGACAAAGGGGGTGAAGAATGCACTGAAAGAAAGCACAGTTCAGTACATATGAGCCTGCGTGTAGTGCAAGACACACGTTTTTTTTTTTTTTTCTTTGTTTCTTTTTATTAAAATTCTGAGATCCTGTGTGTGCAGAACTGTCACCCGTGTGCATGCCCGCGGGTGCATGTTTAGAGAGTGCAGCCGTGCAGTACTTGTGTTTTTGCTCTGTGTAGTCCTGTAGAATCTCATGCGCTTTTGAGCGCAAATAAATAAATAGATAAATAAATAAAGCCAAGACACAAACAGGGTGTGGCTTCAGTACAGAAAATCAAGTTGTCGAATAATACAAACAGCTGCACTTCAGAGCACACTACCTAAGAGAGAACAAATGATGCCGCTCCGCATTCTTTGCATGCTCACATACACAGAGCTGCTGTCAGAAAAAAGCAGCAGTTAGTGGGTTTCTCAATAAATGGGTGTCATTATCACTAATACGGTGTATTTGATGCTGCACAGTGCCTGCAGCATTCAGCTAGTCGGCTTCACTTCTCTAATGGAAAAGTGACAGGAAAAGACAGGAAGGAGAGGAAGAGCGAGTTCAAAGTTGAGGCAGATTTTGTGTTTTTTTTTTTTTTCCTTCTCCTGTCCTCAGGCAAAAGATAACTGTCTGTCTTGTGTACTCATTTACTGCTTAGCCCAGGAAAATGATGCACTGAAAACATGAGGACGTACGCTCACTCTACAACATATAATTATACTCGTCACATACCAACTACTGCATGGCATCTGCATACAGACCAATGCAGAGGTAGTAAATGCAACACTTGTACAGCTATAAATCGGAGCAGACAGTTAGCCATCGTGGGTTTCCTTTTTCTTTATGCGGCTTTCTCTCTGCATGGAAACCTGCTGTGAGATTGGATTAAGTGAGAGAAAGAGTAGAGGAGGATAAGAAGTCATTAAAAGGGAGAACGTATTATTTAGATGGATGAAAAGCTGGGGTATTAGCTAGATTCTGGCTGGTACATTTACCTGCCTGAGCCAAAGCTTTGTGTGGGTTTGTGGGTATATCTGTTGATGCTTCTATGTGTGGATGCTTCCATGTGTTTATGTGTGCGTATATATCTATGTATATATATATATACAGTGTGTGTGTGTGTCTGTGTCTGTGTGTGTGCGTGCATATAGATGTATCGCTCATTCACTTGTGATGCTGAGGACAGTGTTTACAAAGCGTTTCTGCTGCTTTGTTCTTCAAACTGATCTCCCTGTGAAGACAGCAGTCAGGAGAAGGAACACTGCACCACTGTTCAACAGGGCTCAACTTTGACTTTTTAAAGTACTTGTTTTTTAGAAAAGTAAATGTGCCTTTCACTTGTCCAGGCACAAAAGCCTCTTTTTGGATAAAAATGAAGTGTAACCTTATAGTAAAACAATATTTGTTTTGCTTCTATGCCAATTCTAGCAGCTATTTTGCATTCTACACTGAGCTCCATGAAGTAGCACCGAGAGGTGTATTTCTGAACTTATTTTTTAATTATTTGTCAGTGAGAAATTTCATGCTGCAAGGTGGCTCGGTGG